GCCAGCGCGCTCGGCGGCTAACAGCGTTCCAATTTGGGCCAGTAAAACAGTGCACAGTTCGAATTAGAACAGTTCGATTTTGTCCTTGTTCTGTTTTGATACTTGTTCGAGAAAGACACTGTTCTGATTTGAATCAGTTCGACTTTAGGTCTGTTCGATTTTGAAAACGTTCGAATTCGTCGTACCCCCAAAATTTCTAATCCTTAAAAAATGCTTCGGAATTGAATTCCAAAAGAAGCCCTGGAATTATTCCGACCAGAATTTTTTTTTCTAATTTTTTTCTCGGAAATTTATTCCGAAAATTCGGTCCATTTTCAGACTACTGTACATGGAAGGAAAAAAGTTCTCTGTGGGTCTTAAGAGGAATTACTTCTCATATTTTTTTGGCGTTTTCGAAATCAAACTTTTCCACCGATTTTTTGGCCTTTTGTAATGGAGAAGCGGTACTGTCACCGCATTTGAAAAGGCGCCAATTTGCTTGTCTGCATTTTCTCGTAGCTTAGTGGGTGGTTACAGGAAAGTGCAGAAAACAGTAATTTTTATTCGGTTTTCAATCATTTTTTTTCGAAATTTCAAGAATTATGTTGTTATACAAGAATTATGTTGTTATAAATTTTGATATTTTTTGCCCTGTCTGTCAAGTTTCAAAAAAATTTTCGTTTTTGTGATGGGTAAATGAAATTTCCGCTTCAAAATTCCGAAAATTTCTAAATTGGAGTATTCCAAAATTCCGAAATGTTGAAAATCGGAGTTTACGACATTCGGAAAAATTCCGAAAAGGTAAATTCGAACATCCCTGGTTCCGAACAAAATTTAATTACAAAATTTCCAAAATATTTAAACGGAAATGGGAATATCTAAAAAATGTATAGAATGCTTCGAATGGGGCACATTTTTTCTAAATAAAGACTATCAAAAGTGCAACAAAAAACAACAGTATCGGATTACAAAAATGGAATGATTTCATGAAATCCATACTGAATCTTTCCGTTGAAATCGAGAATGACGACTCCTTTCTCCTGAAATTTCACTTTCCTCCATCTTTCTCTCTGTCTGTTCAACTTCCACACTCTTTTTCATATCTTCATGGTATCTCACTTATCCATCCATCGAGATAAATAATAATCGCATTCTTGTGTATATTCACAGGAATCAATTTGCTAGATGTCATAGTGAATTTTATCATTTTATTGATAGAATAAATCTTTTAATTTATTATAAATAATACATTTATAAGATGGCATTCATCAAGTACAGAAACATTACGGAACATTCGCAATTTTTTGTTTTTTTTCAGAAGAAAAATACATTTCGAGAGTAAGCAAGCACCCGTAATCATAAAAATCATTGAAATTCTGTTCATGTTGGAAATCCACGAACCACCGTTAATCAAGAGAATCTTGGCTATTATAATCTAGAAATCAATCAAAGAGGGAATTATTGGTTACACCATCTTCGGCTCGATGTGAGGTTTGAACATGAAGGCGCATACTGAATCCTTGTGAACCTGGAATTTTTCTTATTTTGGATTATTTTCAGTTCAACAAATTGGTTGCAAAAAGTACTCGGGACAGAAAACGAGCCAGCGGATATGGGGTTCAGTGCATTTAAACGTTCGGTGGAAAAATTAAACTTTTGATCGTATTTAGAAATCACAAACCTTCTGTTTTTTCCTCAACATGGCTCTCGGGTCATCATCAAATTGTTCTGTGTTTCTTGGAGCACGAAGGTCTCCACTTTCTGGTTTTCGCACTTTTTGTGGTTCCTCGTCTTCAATATAAACCGACGTATTCTGAGAATCACCCAAGTGTTCATCACTGAAAATAATGAGATAGGTTGATGGGGAATCCATTCAAAAATGAATCAAAAACTAGTTTCTCTTATTCAAAAAAAATCACTCACTCAATTTCACTTGGGTCCAATGGATCAGGTGGTCCATTGAAACATCCTTCCTCCGCTTGAATTTCGTAGACTCTTTTGGAATGCATCACAACGTTGTTATATGGGTTATTTGATCCTAAACAATCAAGATTCGTAGGGCGAAAGATTCAGAATCAACACTCACGAAGCATATCTTTGGAATCATCTCGAGCCAATGCTTTGTGCATAAATCTCATCATCAGATAGCATCCAAAAAAGATGACGACGACAGCTGTGAGTACAATGCAGAGGATGATCAAGCCGGTTAAACTGAAAGATACAAGTATTTTATGGACTTCCTCGAAATCTCTTTTTTTTCAGATTTTATTTCTTAAGTATGCCTAGTATTCTCTTTCAAAGGGAGCCCAAAAAACCTGAGCCGACCTGAACAATTCATCAAATCGCCATGTTGACGGTGTAGACGGTGGTGCTGTTTTTGACATGTAAAGCATTAGGGAAAAAATTGAAAAATGAAGAGTATGACACAAGGAAAACGAATTCTTGTCCGGACGAAAAAACGAATCGGTTTTTTCTTCCGACAAAATTTTCGGAAGGGTAGTAGGCGGAGACATTTTTCTTGGCCACTCAACAACCACAAATCAAATTTCGGAAACGGAAAACTTTTTTTCAGAAAATTGCGTTTTTTGAAGAGTTGTGTTCGTTAGGAACAAGTTAATTTAAAGGTTCTCTTTTTTTCTAAAACAGATAATATCGAAATGAATTCGTCATATTTTAGGATTTGGAGATTACCCAATTTATTTTTCCCTTTGAACCAATTTATCTCAGTTCTCGTAAAAGATATTAAAAAAGTGGTCAACCGACAATATATTGGTAATATTCAAATAAACAATTTATCAGTTGACCACTTTTTGCTATCCTTCCCAGAAAATGAGATGTATGAGCTCAAAGTAGACGGTTTGGATGGCATTCTATTAAAGTGTTTACGGTACTTGGACTTTTTAGAAATCGCTATATTGATGAATGTGTTGTTGAGTTTAGTAATTTGAAAAAGCAATACTTGTAATACTTTTGATTTTGTTCCTAAAATGACCAAATAGTTTCTGAATTGGACAGTTTGTTTTTAATGGGCCCAAAAAACCCAATTTCATTTTTTTTTCGCTCGTTCCTAAAGATGTACACAACAAAACTATGACGTTCAAAGTGAACAACAATTCAGATAAGAATTCATTTACATCACCAAAAGGATTTGACATTTTGACATTTCCGTCATTTTTTTCAGCTCTCCCCCATTCGGGATCTCTAGAGATTATCAATGATCATTCAGAGCCAAGCACTCAAATGTCTGAAAATAAAACTTTTGCCTATTACGAATGTCATCGTTTTACCAAATTAATCTGATTCAAAAGAACCGAAGACCAAAGAATAGAATACGGTCTTTGCACTTGATTCGAACCAACTAGATCGTTTTTTTCGAGTTTCTGAGGAAGTTTAATCTCACCTGACTGGCAAAAAATCTTGAAAAATCCACCGTTCTTCATCATCAAGTTTGAAAGATTTCATCTGACTTTCGCGCTAGAAAGAGAAAAGTTTTGATGAAAAATGAATTAGTGGGTTGAAAAATATAGAAAACAGAATGATAGGAAGGGCAGAGAGGGAATGGAGAGGTGAAACGTGATTAGGGTCAGACTTCTGTCAAAATGGCTGATTTTTTTAAATTGAGGCCAAAAAAGTACTTGGTTTTCGGGAAAGAACAGTGTCTCAGCTGACAAATTCTGAATGGAAATTGAAAATTCTCGAGCTATGATCCGATTCTTTATAAGCGCCTCAGATTACTAGTTGTCTAGAAATTGAAGTCAAACATCTGGTAAGTGGGAAATTCTCTCTAGGATAGTTGATGAGACAAATCGACTGATATGGAGCCATATATTGAGCCATAATAATTAGAAAAAGATCAGAGATAGTGCATATTATTCTGGCTTGATTTCACAAGTAAGATTCTTTCTTACTAAATTTATTTTTCCTGTTTCTCTTTTTTCCCATCATTCCGTATTTCATATTTTTCTTTCCGCTTACAAAAGATTTCTCAATCATTCGAATCATCACCGTGAAATTCTTGAAATCGACGGAGTGTTCCGCCGAAAAAGACGGCGGCTGATGTGAATAAGATGTGGAAAGTGGAATGTTTGAAGCGGGAGAGAGAGAGAACGAATGATCCGAAAAACTCCAAAAAACTATGGGCTCTTTTTTGACGGAAGACAACTCTCACTATGGTTACAGAATGAATCCAGAAAAAAAAAATGGAAAACGAGAAGATGGGATTAGTGGGAATGTAGAAAATTGATGTATATTTGGAGAATTGTGCGTATTGAAATGAGGGACAGAGCAGCTGTCGGCTAATCCGTATGTAAGCTCTCCACTTTCAGATTTTCAGATTTTCAGCTTCTAACAAAAGTTATAGGGTGGCATCACTTGAGTTTGATCGCTTTTTGAACAACGTGGGAAACAGAAAATTCGGAGAAACATCGGACACCGTGTGATCACAATGCATGTGAAATATTCTATGAAAAAAATTCGATGTCTTGTCTGATTACACTTTTTGGGACCATGATCGTAATCAGCGAAATATAGATCTTTCAAATTGAATTAGTATTACAGTATCCTAAAATATCGGCTCCGGGACATTTTGTCACCGTGAAAATACATGTGAATGGAAAGGTTACAGACTACAAAAGAAAAAAAAAATTCATGATTTTCAAATATGCTTGTTCAGATAGAACGCATTCTGAAATTCAAGAATAATTTTTTGAATTTTAGATTATTATCTATCAGAACAAGCATATTTGAAAACCAAAAAATTTCTCAATTCTTTCCATTTTCCGGCTTTATCGCGAGGGCGAAATGTCCCGGAGCTTCGTTTAGAAGAGGAAAAATATTTTTTCGAGAATTTAATTTGTCTTTACAAAAAAATCATTATCAGAAATTCTAAAAATAAATACCTGACATGTCTGACTCGTCTTTTCGGAATCTACGGACGGATTGGTGTCTCTCAAATGAGTAATTTAAATAACCAAAAAAGTTTCCGACAGTTTTTGAAATACTTCTTTAATTTGAACAGAGAAAACTGAAAGAGAAAACAAGGATTATTGTAGAAAATTATTTAAAGATTTCAGATGTCGTTCGTTGAAAATTTTAGTCAAATACCGACTGAAAATCAAGGAGAGGAAAGAGGAAAAAACATAATGAAAAGATAATGAGATGTTGGATAGAGAGTGCATCAAATCGTCTCTTCAATCCCAATGAGTCATTTGGATAAAAAACAACTTAGCTGAGAAAAACGGCTTTAACATAATTTTGAATTCATGAAAAAGAGAATAGGGAAATGAAAGCAGCCAAAAAGTGAAATTCTAAATTGATATACTTCAAGAAATCCTACTGGTTTTTGTGGTGGTAGACACCGAATACCTTCCTGTTTTTGTTCAAAAATGATTTTTGATTTTTGGATTTAACTTTATTTATTTCAGATTTTAATCCAGTTCATAGAATCTTTTGAATAAAACTTGAGATAGTTTAATCTTATCTCAAACAAAAGTTTTTCGAACTGTTTGTTTTTTCAAAAAAGTTGTTTTTTATTTGAGGTTAAATGAACAGCATTAGGATTTCAGATTCCGAAAATCGAAAAATATCTTTACCGCTGGACAACATAATTTGTAGTATGCAAAATTTGGGAAAAACAGGCAGTTCTCATTAATATTTTCGGTTCCGGATAATCTATCAAATTCAAGGAATAATATGCTTCTTGTTAACTATAAACTATAAACTGATATCAATCTGGCTAATAACTTCTAAAAGGGAATTGGCCGGACCAGGCCGTGCTGATACAAAAACTTTCCAGAGCCGAGCCGTCTTATAGTTTACAGAAATTATTTTTTGAATTTCACAGTTTTTTTTAAAGTTTAGAAAAAATCAGCTTCTTAAAGAACAGCGGGACGGCCGGTAATCTTACAAATGCTGAAAGCAAGTGGGACAAAATGTTGATCTGAAGGGCCAAATATTGCTGGCCCCATCTCAAAAAGTGGGCCATGGCCAGAAATGGTAGAATGGAAACTCAGTGAGGCGTTTTCTAATTAGAGGAAAAAGGGTCCTTTTTGGGGGGAGGAGACAACTCAATTGTTTCCTTCATTTTCTCTCCTCTTCTCATTTTCCATTCTACTCGACCAAAGGGTATGGAGAAACAAAAAAAGGAATTTTTAAATAATTGAGTTTTGAGTTGCTCCCGGTCTACTTCAAATTTGAACTTTTGGGTTTTACAGGTCCAAAAAATGGAATCTACGGTTGTTGCTTCAGAAGCCGTATACCGGAAAACCTGTTATAGAAAGGCCCTCACACGGTCAAGTTTGAGCCGATTTTTCTTCCTAGGCAAGGTATCAAAAATGTGTTAACTAATAAAGTTTTTGGGATATCATGACAAACATTTTATCAGTTGACAAAATTTTTATATTTTCGATGGGGACCATGAAACAATAACCCAAATTCAAAAGTTAGGAGACCCACAGGTTTTACGGAAAGTGATACAAATAAAAATGTCCGACTTCCGGTTACTATCTCAGTACAACAACAAGTTTTTAGACAGTTTTTATATGACAACACAGTTTTTATATACAAACAACAGTTTTTATATGACATTGATATTTTACATGCTCTCAATATTTCAAACGCCCCTATTGTTTTTAAAAACTTGACTTTAACAATTTAAATTTGAATTCAAGAATTATCAGACTCTAAAACTCACTTGCTTCCAAGAGCAAACGATTGCTTTTTGCCAAAGAATTCCGCTAAGAATGATCGTTCTCCAGCAGAGTCATCAGCCGAAAAGACGATCTCTCCAGGACTCAAATCATCCGGGTCCAGCATTGTCATCTGAAAATGTTTTTATTTAGATTGACATTACAGTTTTTAGATTATTATCAACTTTTTGCTCTTCAGAGGCGCTTTTTTTGTATCTACCGTACAACCTGTATTAGAATGACCGATCTTCTATAGTTCCAATGTACCTCCAGAGAGCACTTCTATTACAAGGTTGTACTTTAAATTGGTTTTAATATTTTGTCTACAGTGTAGTTCAGGTTTTTCAAGGAAAAAATTCTCCATTCCGGAAATGAACTCAATTTCCTGTTTCGTGCACAAAACACACACCTTTAGGTCACTGAGAGATGGAAATGGAATACTGGGAACAAGGTTTGGTTTGAAAACTGAAAAGATAAAATGCTGCCTCCAGAACATCTGTTCAAATTTTAGGGTTTGACCTGATGACAAAAGGCTTCGTGACGCTTGATGGCGTGTCAACGAAGTCATTATGATGACGTGCCAACAAATTATAGTTTTTAGAAAGAAAAATTAGAAGGTTCTGTTTTAGGTTTTTTGGTTTTAACAAGAATTTTCGAAAACGAATCAGCACATTAAAATCTTGAACTCCTCGCAAAATCTTGTCTTATAAAATGTCTATATATCGAATTGAAAAAAGACAGATGAATTGAGAACCTACTTCAACAATATAAAATGCGCTTTTATTCTTGTCTCTCCACTTCATTTTCCCCTTCCTCCACTTGAAGAAATTTAAGCAGAAGAAGAAGGCGAAGAAGAAGAGGAAGAACGGTGGTAGTGGTGGAGCAACGTAAACAGAGTCTCGACAAAAGTCTGAGTGAATATAATAACAATCTATACTGCTAGCTGATTGAATAAAAATTGGATGAGAATCAAATAACAACTATTGTATATGATTTTTATTGTTGAAGTGAATGATTAATTTTCGAAGGGAGCTGCTAGAGAAAAACAAGGAGAAGAAGACAAAAAGATGATGAGGCAGAAGGCCTAGTGTAGATTGTAGTAGTTCAGAAGAAGTAAAATATTGGTTTTTACTGCACAGAAGAATATCAACTTTTCTGTATTTCCGACAGTTTTCAGAGTTTTAAAATTTGGGAATTTTGAAATTTTGGAGTTTTCAAATTTCCGAACTGGAGAATTAAAAAAAAAAGTTTCAGAAGTTGTCTTTCAGATGTTTTTTCTTTCGAACTTTTAAATTTTCGAATTTCAAAATTTCAAAATTCCCGGATATCTGAATTTTTGTAAAATTGGAGATTCTAAAGTTCTGAATTTTTAACTTCCGAATTTTAAAACTCTCGAATATTCAGATTTTAGATTTTTAGAGTTTTTGAAATTTCTTTCCGGATCAATTTATACAGTATCCCATAACCTTTGTAGCCATAATATTTCGTCTTCACAGATAGCTTACCTAGAGGATTCGAAAATTTGAAAAATCATTTAGTATTCCTGAAAATCGGAAATGCGACATTTCCAGAAAAATCTTGAAATTTTTTGAAAGGATGATTAGTTAGATCAGAAAAAAAAAATTGATTTGAAAGAGTAATATTTTTATATAGCTGAGAAACAGCAATGGTTTCCAATTATTCACATTATTATGGGTCCAGCAAATTTCGTAAAAACCTACTTCATATTCATAAAAATCGGAATACTCGGGTGGAATGAGAGCTATGCCTCTTTTCCTATGCCTCCTTCGTTTATGATTCTGATTTTTAGAAACAGAATGCATTTCAGAAATATTTAGAACTAATATTTGGAGAACCTCTTCCTTTTTTCTACTTTTGATGAGTAACTGATCCAAGAGAGTAGATATGCGTTGTCCGGAAGCAAGGATGTGAAAAAAGGAAGTGAGAGAAAAGAGCAAAAAGAAATAAAAACTAATTTAGTTGAGCACTATGCGACAACTTGACAGGAGAGTCTGAACGAAGAAGTGTGGAAAAGAAGAAGAAAAAGGTTATCAATGGGAAAGTGACGAATGTTTTTAGAAAAAAAATAAAATAGAGAAGAGTGGGAGAGAGAGAGTGAAGATTAAAACACAAGCCTATTAACGAACTGATACGGCTTTTGCTATTAAAGCAGATCAAGAAAAATATAGTTTTTAATTGTCAACAGTTTGGTTTGTTCATATCTGTTCAGTAAACTAATTTCCTAAGAAGAAACCGGTTGAACCAGATTGGGGAATTTCAGTATGTGATTTTTATTATCTGACAGGTTTCTGAAATTCGTAAATAGTTTGTGAACAACGTCTGCTATGATCGTTTCTTGGCACATATGTTCGATTTTCACCTACACGAGAGACGTCCGGAATGAATTTTTTGAGAAACGGAAAAAAGTCAATATTGTACTTCCTCTTTTAGAAGCTCAATCAACTCAACCCGTCTTTGAGCTCAACTTAACTGATGAAATATTGGTGATGTTAATGATAAATAATTTTTCAGTTAACATATTTTCGATATCTTTAACAGGATTCGAGATAATTGAGCTCAAATGTGACAGTTTGGATGGGCTTCTATCAGAGGAAATACGGTGATTGACATTGGCTCTGTGGGCTTTGATGGTAAAAGTCTCTTTCCGGTTCAGACCATGTCCCAGTAAATATTTCTCAAAACCAGGAATTAATCTAACGTGATTGATTCTCAATCAACTGTCTTTTCAAAAATTGTTGTGAAAAGAGAAAAGAAATGAAAACTCAGAATCTGGAATCTTGACTACCTACCGCTTCATCATCTCTATTTTCTTCATTCCAAACCGGCATCAATAAGAATATGTCTCTCATTTTTTATTGGTTCCGAAACAATTTTTCATATGAATATGTTCAATTTCAAATATAACAACGAACAGTTTCAACCCCTTTACCCACATTGTCAAATGGAGATTTGCATACATTTTCCGCCTCTCGCTTGTTATTTTTAATCTCCGTTTTTTAAATGGTAAAACAATATTATGAAAAACTGTTTTCTCTACAGACTGACCGAAAGTATAGTTCAATAGAAATCTGAATTGTGTGAAAATATAGAAAAATATCTCTTCAGAAAGTAGTCAAGAATTCTTAAAAAAGAGAAAAATATTCCCATTCTACAATCCGCTTATTTTCGAACACAATTTTTACTTTCTGCACATTTTGGAGTTTCTCACATTTTTGAAAGGAAAAAAAAAATACAATATCCAATTATCTAACTCACCACCATCTTGCAAAAAAGGAATAGAAAAAGAAAAGAAGGAAGAAAAATGAAAGATTGAGAATTTCCTTCTTCCGGTTCCTATAGCTTTTCGGTGGAATGTTGATCCTCTGACCGAAATAAAACAGAAAAAAAACAACAAAAGATAATGAGAATTTGCTGAGAAATTTCTGACGTTGGTGAGAAATTGAAGAAATTGAATGGAATTTTCGGAGACACTTTTAGAATGAAAATAGGTTGATTCAGTTAGCAAATCAGTCGAGTTGATTAGATTTAAATGGGAATTTTGCGTATGCGTTTTTTTCTGGTTGAGAATGTCTTGTTGATTTTGGAGACGACTTTCAAGAAGTAAGTGGGATTCTAAGAATGACTCCATGCTTTAATATCAATTTTCAGAAGAAATGTAAAACCACTCTTAAAATGCTTTTGAAAAATATGTTTTCAAAGTTAAAGCGGTACCTTGATTTGCTGAATTTTCAATTTATAGTTCAAAAACTGGAAAACAGTAAATTCATTTGCTATTCCTTCTGCTAGCTATAAAACATCACTGGAACGAAATGAGCAAAAAACCGAACATATAAGGAGCGTTTCGAGACACAACAACGAATTGAAGTCGTCATTTCTCCGTCCCACCATCATCAAAACATGACCATTAGAACACCGGAAACCAAAAAAATGAGACAGGAAAAATGTTTGTTTTTAAAGTCAAAACGAGTCACTAACGAGGACTCCAGGGAATCTCCAATTAATTTTTAATTTGTGCTTTCCTTTGTTAGAAAAGAAGGAAAAGAAGAAGAAAAGGTGAAGATTTTCCCAGAGAGATCAGCCATTCTTGGGAGATCTTGAGGAATATGGTGTCTACTGATCACAAAAGTTAAAATTGTATTTTTCTAACTTTTAACTTCGAGCCAATTTTTCTCGGTTCCTGTCAGAGAGATAAACAACTGATAAATTGTTTATCATAATATCAGAACTGTTTTGTTACTTAACACTTTTTTGATATATTGCATAGGAATCGAGATAATAGAGCTCAAACTTGACAGTTTGGGGGGAGGGGTAACTATGGTAACTTTACGAAAACTGATTGAAACTCTTTCGTCAGCAAAATCTGTCTAGCCAAATGCCTGATAGATAATTTCTGAGTTATGATTTGTTAGATAATTTCAGAGTTAAGACTGGGGCACCTAAGACGCGCCCCTGAACAAAGATCCTGACAGAACTGCTATAACTGAGCACTTCAAAATTCGAAGGTGTTTAGGAAAATTCCATTAATTTAAAACACCTAATTTGTTACAGAACATATTGATAAATAACGATTCTTCGACTTTTCTTTCCTTAAAACCACACATATTCGATTGCAACTTCTAAACGAACCCATATTTTATCCATTTTGATTGTGTAGACGATATCAGCAGTGTTGGCTGAATCAGAAGAAGATGTGGACCAGAAATGACGGAACTTGGCCATCTATCTCTCACAAAAATAATAATGAATGCGCCGTTTTCTCACAAGTTTTGAATTTCATAAAAGAAGAAAAAAGGACCGAGACAAAAAATGGACACTTCATTCAAAAATGGGTGACAAGTGAACAAAGAATGGTTGGAAAAACAAACTAGTTTTGCCTTTTTTTAGGTTCTGAAGCCAAACCACAATCCAAAAATAAAGAGAAAATTGGCAAGCAAGAAGATTGAGAATTCTTTAAAATGTTCTTAGATTCTTTAGAAAAAGAGGTGAAACCCCCAGAGGCAGTTTGAACAAAAAGGAGAAAAAGAAAATACAAATATTTTAGTGTTTCATTTTTTTGAAGAAATGAACAAGATTGAGCAAAAAAAGTATGAAGAATAATTTTTGTCCTTCTTC